CCACCCTTTCTTGTCCCCTGCCTCCCCAACCACGCACACACTCACACTGAGTTACCTGCCCCCACATATCACCAGCACTCAGTCGTTGCGTTTCATTATAATCGCTTGCATATGTGTCCATCTTCCCTATGGGACTGTGAGCTTATTGGGGATGGGGCTCTATAGTTTTTATCTTGGCCACTCTTGCTTAGCGCAATATCTGACATATGTAATAATATTAATAACTGAATAAGTAACATATAAATGTTAACTAAATAAATGATTTATAAGGATGTGTGCCTAAATGTTTTAATCTAGTATATGATCAGTGTTTCTCGTCCCCCTTTTGTGATTTGTTTATATGGAACTTAATCTGTTGTCATTATTTCCAGGTCTTTGTATAAGCCAGACACAGTCATGTGGGGTCTGTCATTCCCCAAGAGCTGGGCATGGTCAGGACTAGATCTTGCTCTTCACTTAGGTGTCTGTCTCACAGGCAGCACACAGGGGCCACGAGCAATCTGTCTTTTCTGGTTGCTTTTCCTTAGTGACTCAGTGAGAACGATGATGGGTCAGGACTTCAAACTTTGAAGGGCTGGGGACATAGGTCTAATTGGCAACATATCTGGCTCAAGAATATAAATGAAGGGAACTTTTTGGTACCAGTTTTTTTCTCCAGCCTCCGTTCAGGCATAATACAGAGCCCTGTAGGGCTGAACCCTATATACATTTTTGGTGGTGGTGGGGATTTATTATTTTAGCACTTTTCCTTCCATTTTTCTCTAAGTTATTGCAGAATCATAAGCTGTTATCTCAAGTTAACAGTGACCGTTAACTTTTTATTATCTTGCATTAGCAGGCAATCTGATGACGAATCTCAGATTCAGGAACCTTCTTGTAAAGAGTCTTGTATCTTGTTTTTCACATTTCAAGCATCTTGCTCAGCTTTTAGTTAATAACAGTATTGTGAATTTTTTCTTTAGCCAATTTGTGAATGTTTTCTTTAGTTGAAAAAATACTTCTGCCTCTGTTTTGTCAACCCAACTTCCTTTCCTGCTTTTAAATATTCCAGAACTGAGGTTTCTATGGGCCTTTCACTATTCTTGATGACATTTTGGCTTTTGAAAATGAGTCTCCCTCGGCAATGTGAAAAGTTGGAGAAATTACCATAATCAGAAGATTCTCCATTTGAACTTTCCTCCTCAACAAGTCACACCTAAAATCCCTCTTAAGCTGTATTCTCTGAATAATTCCTAATCTCCCCTTTCCATTTCATATAGACCTGTTCTCAAGAGTTTTCCTGTTGATTATTTATGAACGTTGGAGAGAAACATGTGAGCAAACTAGGAAGGCCTAAAAAGAAGCAGTTGATACAATGTCATTTCTGAATGAGTCATGTAAATATTAAACCCTGGAGAATTTCTGCTTCAAACAATTTTATCTGTAGGATGAAGTTTACTGAGTGGTGTGTGGGTGACTCAAACAGAATCTGGCATAAAATTAGCTTCTCAGAAGATAGTTGAGTGAAAGAACTATTCAGTAAATGCAGAAAGTTGGTAAAATTGCTGCATTTGAAAGGGAGTCTCATTGTCTGGCTGTGAGGTGGCACCTTCCCAGACACCTTGGGAGGACCATTTTTTTAAAATTAATTAATTAAATTGAAGTATAGTCAGTTTACAATGTTGTGTTAGTTTCTGGTTTCAGCAGAGTGATTCACTTTACATATATATATATATATTTATATACACACACATACATATACATATATACACATTCCTTTTCATATTCTTTCTCATTAGAGATTACTACTAGGTACTGAATATAGTTCCCTGTGCTATACAGAAACAACTCGTTGTTTATCTATTTTATATATAGTATCTGCAGATCTTGAAGTACCAATTTATTCTCCACCACCTTTTTCCCCTATGGTAACCATAAGTTTGTTTTCTATGTTTGTGAGTCTGTCTCTGTTTTGTAAATAAGTTCATTTGGCTTCTTCTTTTTTTTTTTTTTGAGATTCCACGTATAAGTGATATCATATTGTATTTTTCTTTCTCTTTCTGGCTTACTTCACTTAGTATGATGATCTCCAGGTCCATCCATGTGGCTGCAGATGGTATTATTTTATTCTTTTTTATGGTTGAGTAGTATTCCATTGTATACATGTATGACAACTTCTTTATCCAGTCACCTGTCAATGGACATTTAGATCACTTCCATGTCCTGGCTATTGTAAATAGTGCTGCTATGAATATGGGGATGCATGTACCTCTTTTCTTGTGGTTTGATGACTAGAGAAGTTCCTTTAACATTTGTTATAAAGCTAGTTTGGTGGTGGTGAATTCTTTTAGCTTTTGTTGATCTGTGAAGCTTTTGATTTCTCCATCAAATCTGAATGAGAGCTTTGCTGGACAGAGTGTTCTTGGTTGTAGGTTTTAGCATTTCATCACTTCAAATATATCGTGCCACTCCCTTCTGGCCTGTAGAGTTTCCACTGAAAAATCAGCTGATAACCTTATGGGAGTTCCCTTGTATGTTATTTGTTGCTTTTCTCTTGATAATTTTAATATTTTCTCCTCCTTAATTTTTGTCAATTTGATTACTGTGTGCCTCAGTGTGTTCCTCTTTGGGTGGATCCTGTGTGGAACTCTCTGCATTTCCTGGACTTGGGTGACTGTTTCCTTTTGTTAGGAAAGTTTTCAGTTATTATCTCTTTGAATATTTTCTCAGGTCCTTTCTCTCTCTCTTCACTTTCTGGGACCCCTATAATGTGAATATTAGGGTGCTTCCTATTGTCCCAGAGTTCTCTTAAACTAGCCTCATTTCTTTTCATTCTTTTTTCTTTTTTCTGTTCTGCCATAGTGATTTTCATTAATCTGTCTTCTGGCTCACTAATCCGTTCTTCTGCCTCATTTGGTCTATTCCTGGTTCCTTCTACTGTATTATTAAATTTCAGTAATTATATTCTTCAGCTCTGTTTGAGTTTTCTTTATGTTTTCTTTTTGCTAAAAGCTTCCCCCTGTGCATCTGTACTTCTTCTGAGTTCTCTGTACATCTTCACCATAATTACTCTAAACTCTTTCTCAGATAAGTTGCCTGTCTCCACTTGACTTATTTCTTCTTCTGGAATTTTATCTTGTGTCTTGGCCTAGAAGATATTCCTCTGCTGCCTCATATTGTCTTGATTTCTATTTGTATTTTTACGTAGCTTAGTTATGTTTCTAGACCTTGGAGGAGTGGCCCTCTGTGGGAGACGTCCTATGTGTCCCAGCAGTACACTCCTCTCTTGTCACCTAAGGGCCAAGGTCCAGCTGGTCCCAGGGTAGAGTGTGGCCTGCATTTGTGGACTCCTTCCACAGGCTTTGGGATTATTGTTTTCTTACTTCTGGTACCTGCCCCTGGTGGATGAGGCTGGACTAGAGGCTTATGCAGGTTTCCTGGCAGGAGTTGCTGGTGCCTGCCCATTGCTGGGTGAAACTAGGTCCTGGATCTCTGGTGGGTAGGGCTGTGTCTAGGGGCATGCCTAGAGACGGTTGTGGCTCAGGAAGTCTGCTGATGGGTGGGGCTCTGTTCCTACCCAGTATGTTATTTGTCCTGAGGCTTCCCAGCACTTAAGCCTACAGGCTGCTTGGTAGCAGTAGTGCTAGGTGGTAGCGCTAGGTCTTGGTGCTAATGACCCAAGCAAGATGTCAGCCTCCAGGAAAGCTCATGTAAATGAACATTCCCCAAATGTCTGCCACCAGATTTTATGTCCCCTGGGTGACAGCAGTCCCTTACCTCCCCAGGAGACCCTCCAAAACCAGCAGGCAGGTCTGGCCCAGGTTCCTATGAAATCACTGCCTCTGCCCTTGGACCCAGCATGTCCGAGATTCTGTGTGCACTTCCCAAGAGAATGAAGTCTTGGTTTCCCTCAGTCCCATGGAGCTTCTGGAGTTCAGCTCCGCTGGCCTTCAAAACCAGATGTTCTGGGGTTTCCTCTTCCCAATGTTGGAACCCCAGGCTAGGGAGCCTGACATGGGCTCAGAACTCTCACTCCTATGGGACGGCCTCTGTGACTTAATTATTCTTCAGTTTGTGGGTCACCCACCCAGGGTTATGGGACCCGATTTTATCATGAGCACACCCCTCCTATCATTCTGTTGTGGTTCCCTCTTTGTTTCCAGTTGAAGATCTTTTTTGCTAGGTTCTGTTGTGTGATACGTCAGGGTGGTGCAAGCTGGTGATGCAGGTTGGTAAAAGAATTTACCAGAGATAAAGCATGAGATAAAGTATGAGAGTAGTGAAGGAGTTTATTGGGGTACGCTGCCATAGACAACAGCAAGTCACGTGAACGAGAGGTGCCTGTGTGAGCCCTATGGGTTAGTTGTTGGGTTGTTTTATAAGGTAGGGTCACAAGGTGCCTGATCAGCTTGTGCATAAGGCTCTGATTGATTGTAGGTGAGGTAAGAGGTTTAGGGTCCGTGAAAGGTGGTGGGATTTATGACTTTGATCAGGTGGGTTGAAACAAGCCAGGCTGAGCTATTGTGAGATTAGGCATTACCTAGGGCTGTTTGTTAGGGCAAACACACTCAGTAAAGAGTGTACTTTATCTGTTGGGGGATCACAGGCAGACATCTGACAGCCCAGAGTGGGGGTCGTTGGACTTTCAAGGACATCAGTCGTCCCCACAGTTTTCAGTCTTTTTTTCTGATGGTTGTTTAGCAATCAGTTGTGGTTTTGTTGTAATGGTAAGGAGAGGTGAGCTTGTGGTGAGAAGGCCATTTCTGAGCAGTACTTCTCTGCCCGCATAAAAACGATCCTGTGCTGATGCGGAGTTCCCATGGCTTGGGCAACGACTCGGAACTGGATCTGGTTTGGAGTCAGAGAGATGTTATCACCCTCCCCCAAGAAGGGCCCAGAATGCTATGACCAGAGTCACTATCTTGTCCTTCTTGTCCCCTGCACAGTGCTGCCCACTGTCGTTTGCCTCGCCTGTTGGGTCAGTGGGTAATTAACACTGGGGCGTTGTGATTGATTTTCAGAAAGGAAGAAAACCATTTCTTTTGGCAGCAGAGAGAGGACACGTTGAAATGATAGAAAAACTCATGGCCCTTAACCTGCATACTTCAGAAAAGGACAAGGTGAGATGGACTCTGGTGTCTTTGCTGAGTGCTGGAGAAAGGGGAGTGACAGCTGATGTGCAGGTTAGGTGGTGGTGTTGTGGTAAGCAGTAGAGTTGTTCAGTTGTTACTACAGTCAGAGAGAATCATGGAAAATCCAGATGAAATCAACCCACTTTTGCAGTGGGTTTTCCAGATTTCCAATTTCTCTCCATAAATGCTTGTGAAATCAGTGGACTACATGGAATTTCTACTGTCAGCTCCAGTCTACTCTTTTCTTCCCCTGAGGTCTGCTGGAGACTCAGCCCCTGAGTCTGGGGAGAGACACATTGGCTGCACATCCGTGTCAATGTGCATATCTTTGATGATTTTCTTAGGAAAAATTCCTAGGTGTGGAATTATCTAGGTCACAGAGTTCTGCACATTTTAAAGTCTTTTGGTATTTATTGTTAAAACTCTCTCCCAGAAATCTTTCAGCAGTTTGCCTTCCCAAAGGTTATATGGGAAAAAGGTTTTGTCCCACTTTTTGCTAGCAAATGAGCAGCAAAGGTAGGGCAAGGAGCATGGATGATTTTTTCTCTACTGCTTCAAACAGCTATGTATTTTCATTTAAAAGTTTTAAAAATTATGAATTTCACTTACAGCTGTGGATAACATGGCCCA